TAGTTTTTTTGTGTCATTTTTCATGTATGGTATAGTGAAATATTTCTTTTCTTTTTCTTCTGTTTTTTTGCTATGTTCTTTGTTTACCGTACTTTTTTTGTCATTATTATATTTGTTAATCCTATTTCTCATGTTCTCGAAAATAAATTTTAGTGGGTATCCGTTTTCGAGTAATGAGTTTATTGCTTTATTGAGGTTGCTCTTGTGAAATTTGTGATGTGACAATGTTAAGATTCTATCTGTCATATTGCTAATGATTGCTCTTTTATGTTGTATTGGGTGGTTTGAGTTAAAATTTAATAATCTGCCTGAATTTGTGGGTTTTTGGTAGTGATTGAAAATTATTTCATTTTGTTCTGTTGTAATGAGGGTGTCTAAAAAACTGATTGAGTTGTCTGGTCTTATTTCTATGGTGAATTTCAGTCTGTCTTCTATTGAGTTGAAAACGTTCAATGTTTCTTTGAGTTTGTCTGTTCTTGTTGCAATTAAGATGTCATCTACATATCTTATGTATATATTGGGTTTGTAATTTAATAGTTTAATTGCTGTGCTTTCTAAATCTTGCATTACCATGTCTGACACGATTGGTGACAATGGTGAGCCCATGGGTGTGCCATAGATTTGTTTATATATGGTGTTGTTGAATGTGAAATAAGTGGAATTCAGTATTAAGTTGATTCCTATTAACAATTCTTTAAGTGGTATGTTAGTTTTTTCTTTTATGTGGTCCCATCTTTTGCTGATGCTTTCATTAACTTTTTCTATTGGTATGTTTGTGAATAGTGATATTACGTCAAATGAAGCTAAACTATGGTCTGTGTTAAATTTTTGTCCTGTTAGTTTTTTTACTAGTTCATAGCTATTTTTTACTACATTTTCTGGTTTAGGGATGTTGTCGTTCAGAATTTTATGTAAATATGTTGCTATTTTATATAGAGGGCTATTTATTGTAGATATTATGATTCTGAGTGGATTTCCTGCTTTGTGAATCTTTGGCACACCATATGCTCTCGGGAGAATACCATCGGTTTCTAATAGACATCTGTATGTTTTTTCATCAATGAATTTTTGGTTTTTCCATCGTGTTAGTACGTTTCTTAAATTTGTCGTTAATTTATTTGTTGGATCTTTCTGTATTGTGTTGTATGTGTTTTTATCATCTAATATTTTTTCCATATCTATTATATATTTTGGTTTATCTATTGCCACCGTGGTATTCCCCTTGTCTGCTCTTGTAAATATTATATTATATATATAATATTATATTATATAAAAATTAAATTGCAATATTGTCATTCCAGGAGCAATACCATCAATTCATATTCCAAAAAAATCAAAGAAAAGGTACAATTTTTAAGTTTAATTATTTTTAAGTAAATATAAATAATAACTGTTTGGTTTCCTATAATCTTTATTACAAATCTATGTATTCAGTGTATTACAATTATATGATCAATTCAATTTCAGATCAAATATAGCCAAGAAATCTACATATGAGCCGCTAATGAAAAAAATTAATGTGAATGAAATCGAGCCAACTACTGAAATCGAGATTCCTGTTGATACTTGTCAAGAAGTTACTGGATGTACATTGATTGAAGGTATAATTTTTATGCATATAATTTATTTCATCAAAATACGTTTCAAATATTTTAGTTTAATTTGAGATCGATGAATTATCCGGTTAATAAAAGTATATAGTTTTTTAATTATATACTAATATTAATAATAATAATGTTATACAATAATTACACAATATACCAGATGAATATGACCAAACAATCTAAGGGACATTAAAAGACACATTCGACACTGACTTTGGATCTGCGTCATTGATCAAGTAATCACTACCAAACCTACTTTACTTTAATACAGGATGCCCTATAAACTCTCTGTTTGGTCATATCCATACTATATACAAGAAAATATATTAATATTTTATTATAAATTGAAATAATGACATTTTTAAAATTATGATATTATTAATAATATTTCAATTGTTAATAACACAATGCATAAAATTGTTTTTCAGATCCAATTGATGTCGATACTCATTGCAATGAGTCTTCGGTGCAGTACACTGCTGACAGCAACAAAGGATCTGCAAATGAATTCGTGCAAGGTATTTATTATTGCATGTCAACGTTTTTTGTTGAAATATAATTCAGTATACTGATATTATTAATAGCACTTAACTTCATATAATAGTAATATTATTAATTTATTACATACGTTAGCAGGCACGTGTCGAACACCTCCAAGAACGATTTTCGAACCTCGCTACGTTGGTGATATCCGAAGTCCACACCTAGCTACACCTCGAAGAGCAAAACGAACTGTAGCTTTAGCGAGAGGAGTTATTGATAAACAAAAAAAAAACAATTAGGACGTTGCAACATTCACGAAACCGATTGCATGCACGTATTAAAAATATGAAAAATTTAGTTAATGAGTTGAAAGAAAAGAATTTAATTTCTGAAAGTGCATTTGACAGTTTAACGGTAAGTTTGCACAATATACTTATTAATTACACTACAAGTTAATTATCTAAGTAGAAAGTTTCTCTCATTTTCCAAAATTACATAAAGGGCCAACACTAATAAAGAAAATACTATATATTTATACAGATTATACGTAGATTATAGAAATCTTCTTTATTTTTTAAAACTATTTAAATTATGCATTTTTTTACTTATACGAGATTTATATTTTAGCAGAGTTATTCAGAATTTGTAATTATATAGTATTACTTTCATAATTCATTTAAATGTACAGAATTGATATTTACGTAATTTTTTATATGTATAGGCTGAAATGTAGGCATTTTTATTAAATATATATACATTATTGACATTAAGCAATATGTATTGTATTGCTAAAGAAAATAATAAAATTATTATAATATTAATGTGGTTTTGTGATTTTTATTTACATATAGGTTAATTGTCCTAAGATTATGCATGAAATACTGAATAGAAAGAAAGGATTAAGAAAAAAATACTCAGCAGAACTAAGAAAGTTTGCCTTGACTTTAAGTTTTTATTCTTCGAAAGCTTATGCATATGTAAGACAAATCTTCAAAAACCTTTTACCTGAACCTTCCACTATTCGTAAATGGTACGCTGCGTTAAATGGACGACCCGGATTTACAGATGAAGTGTTTCACGCTCTGAAGTGTAAGGTTGAACATAGTGAAGTGCCAATTTTATGTAATTTGGTAGTCGACGAGATTGCAATTCGAGAAGAGATTGTATACGATAGAAAACGATACTGCGGATATGTCGATCTCGGTATACATAGTGTTCGAACTGAAGACTCTGATCATCCTCCAAAAGCGAATCAAGCGTTAGTATTTATGATTGTTGCGCTAAATGGCCACTGGAAAGTGCCAATAGGTTATTTTTTGATAAAGTCGCCAACCGGATCAGAAAGAAGTAGTTTATTACTAAAATGTTTTGAGTTGATCCATGATTCGGGAATTATTGTTCGATCTTTGACATTTGATGGAGCTAGTTCCAATATCAATATGTGCACCAGTTTAGGTGCAAATTTTCAATTTGGCAAAAATTTTAAACCTTTCTTCATCGATCCAGCATCGCAGAAAAAGATTTATTGTTTCTTAGATCCATGTCATGCTTTGAAGTTGATAAGAAACACTCTGGGTGACAAATTAATTTTAAGAAATAATGGCGAAGACATTTTGTGGGAAGATATCGTTCTTCTCAGAAACTGGAAGAAGAAGAAGGTTTAAAAGCTGCAACGAAACTAACGAAAAAGCATATTATTTTTCAAAAAAATCGAATGAAGGTCAAACTGGCAGCGCAAACGTTGAGTGAAAGTGTCAGTTGTGCTTTACAATTCATTCAAAAATGTCGACCGAATTATTTAAAATCTCCGAAACAGACAGCACAGTTCTGCAAAATATTTAACGATGCATTTGATTTGCTAAATGTGAGGTCTAAATTTAGTGGATTTAAAAAACATAATGTGGCACTTACTGAAGACAATTTTGATGAATTAAAAAGTTACGCTAACACCTTCGAAAATTACATTATGCAAATAAAAGATTATGAAAATAAATCCATCTTATTCGGCAATCGGAAAACTGGCTTTCTCGGTTTTATTGTATGTCTTAAAAATATGTTCGAGTTATTTAAAGAATTGAAAAGTCACGGATTACGTTATTTGTTAACTTATAAATTAAACCAAGACCATTTAGAAACTTTTTTTAGCGCAATTCGAAGTAGAGGGGGATTTAATGACAATCTTAGTGCAAAACAATTCGAGTCCAGCTACAAAAGATTAATAGTTAGACACGAAATTGCTGCTTCTGAACGTGGTAACTGTGTACCTAATGATATCCCGATATTGTTCGTTACATCCGTAAGAATTAATGGCAGAAACAAACGTTATTCTCGTGAAGAAGATGAAACTTTTGTCGATTTATTTGACCATGACTACTTGTCTACTTGGTGGTCATTAAATCCTTTTATTGAAGACGTAGTGGCACACATCAGCGGATTCGTGGTAAAGAAATTGCTACGAAATAAAAACATGTGTAATGTATGTGCAACATTTTAATATCTAGCAATGCCGAAGCAATTTCGAAGTTGACTGCTATTAAAAAAGAGTAATTGATTCTTCCTTCCGAAGATGTCATAGAAATATCACGTTCTGCGGAACGTGCCATTCGAGAATACAGTCATCTTATTTTTACAAAAGAAAATATTAAACAATTTGTTACTAATGTTGTATGTCGTACTATTTACGATCAAGTTTTCACGCATATGACTAATCATAAGGAAAATGCTTCTCGCAAAAATCAATTTGATAATCATAAATATCAATTAATAAAAGAAATTTCTAATATATATGTACAAATCCGATTATATCATGAAGGAAAACGCGCTACCCATGAGGATAGAAAAGAATATCTTCGGCATACGTATACTAAATTAATACATTTTAAACACATGTAATTTTATTGTTTATTGTTTTATTGTTTATTGTTCCACATAGTTTATTATAGATTTTCACATATTGTAATATTTTATAATTTCTAATTATAATAAATATAGTTTATAATTATTGTGCTGTTGATAAATAAATGATAAGAAATTCATATATTTTTTTTTCTTTTATAGAATATTTCTTTCATTTGTATTTTATATTCATAAATAATTACAAATTATTTTAAACTTAAATAGTAATATTTATATGTAATATTTATATATATAATATTACTATTTATTATAAACGATTAATATTTATGAAACTTTTTTCAGAATTTGATTATTACATATATGTACGTAAAATAAGCGTTTCAAATCTACGCGGTACAGACAGTGCACATGCGCATAGCGAACAAAAGTCATGTTCTATCTTTCCTTGTCGCACAGATGTTGGGTACACTTTTGGATCACGGGAGATATATGCTATTCTCCTTCCATGTATATAAGTTCTATGGATAAACCCTTCAAACACTAAAGTAATATACACCTTGTAAAGTTGCCGCCAATGTGCGGAAATCTTTGTGAAAGATGTACAACTTGAAGTCGATTGATTTTTTTGATCCGACTGAAGGTATAAATAGGAGGTTTGAGACGGGGAAAAATCGCATTTCAAAATTCTCAGTGTAGTGGACAACACGCGTCGTGTTTTTTCGTATCGTGAATTCGGGCGAGATTATCTTGAGTACGCGAAAATGGTTGAGAATTTAAGAAAAACCGCCGAGACATGCTTATTACTGTCACGCGCTTTGTGCGGACTCGATGTGAGCAGATATTTATCGCTGTTATCAGACAACGATGAAAAAAATTTTGAAGTGTTTGCGAAATTTGCGGGGGTGTGTCCTAGTGCAGTGCTAGCGGTGCTATTTCGCTTGGGGCATTTTGCCTCTTATCAGAGACTTGCAATCTACGCGGGTGAAATTATCGAAATGAGAAGTATTTTCGGTGATGGAGAAGTGGAGGATGCGGGTGGGCATATAGCTTTTCTATTATTTTATTTTCATTGATCGATTTCGAAAGCGAGTGAAAACAGTGAGTTTATATTCCAATTTTTATTATATATATATGTATATATAATTTTCAAAAATTAAAAGAGAGAGAGTAAAATCTTTTAGGAGTAGAACATTGGAACGCATCGCCTCGCAGGATTGCGGGGGTGAGAGGAGTGCAACGTATTGCACGCCCTGAAGAGTATACTCCTCCTCACGGTATAAGGCAGCGGGCTGATACTTCGCCCGAAGCCGGACCCTCACGTGAGTCTTAGCACACATTCTTTTATGAAAAATAAGCATTTCATACTGGTAAATTTTTTTAAAATAATAAAATATTAAATGTTTTTAGGGCGTGCACGTATCGAGCTCACACCTGAGCCACCTCTCGTTAACTTGGATAGCGAGAGCGAGGAAGAAGAAGTTGGAACTCACGAAGTGAGTTTATTTGACGAGGAAGAGATTTTTTCACCAGGTGAGTAATGAGAAATTTATCGCAGTAAGAAAATGGATAAAAATTTTTTATTCGCTAAAAAACAATAGTGAATTTTTTAGAGTTTAACCAAAAAGGTGAAAATACAATAATAATAGAAGATTCGGAGGAGGAGGAGGAGGATGAGGATGATGATGATGAGGTGCAAGAGGAAGATACGGGGGAGGAGCTGAGTGGAGCGGAAGAACAGAATCTAAAGGAACTTTTGAGGGAAAGAGGTAAATACAATTATACATTTTTGCATAGATAACACTTTTTCATGCTCGAATACCTTTATTCTAGCCGGATGAAATTTTTAGGAATTATTTTCCCGGAAATTTCTTACTCACCGGAATATTAGTGATCAATGATCAACACGATCAACGGTGAACAAGAAAGGGAATAATCCTGTATAGAGGTGAGAGAATTTAATATGAAATGTATTACTATTTTTAATTTTAACAACGCGTAAAATTCGAGTATGGAAGTGTAAAAACAATAATTTTAAAGATAAACTAATTCGTTTGTTTTCGATTTTTCCAGTTCAGTTTGGTGGAGGAGGGGGAGGAATGGAAGAAAACACGCAGCAGCAGCAGCAATCGGCGGAAAATCAAGCCGAAGAAACCGACGACAACGAGATAGGAGTTCGTGGGGAGGGGAGACTGGAGAGAGAAGAGGAGGAAAAAGCGCTGTTTCCGGAGAATCAGGTTGGTGCGCCGGAACAGATTGCGAATCATAACGGGGATAATTTTAATTATTTAGATTTAATAAGGAAAAACATGCGTGAGTTTAGAAATTTCGGTGTAGTAGGGAGAGAGGCTGGTTTTCGCCTTCGATCATTACCAGAGGGGGAGAAGGTTTACGCGTGGTTAGAAAACGCGTTTCGCGAGCTTCACGCGTACGCGGTACTTTCCTGTGTTCCCGATGATTACATCGGACTTAGTTTCGATACCCCGAATCTTTCACACGGGCCCGCGGGTATTTCGTTCCGACCATCTCGTGATTTGACTCACGAGAATATCTGGAACCTCGTGAGTTCGTTAGCTCAAAGCTCCGGGGGCTTGAACGTAGCGCAAGAA